GAGAATTGCCTGAACCCAGGCAATTCTCCTGCCTCAGCCTCCTGAGTAGCTAGGATTACAGGCACGCGCCACCATGCCCAGCTAATGGTTTGTATTTTTAGTAGAGATGGGGTTTCACCATGTTGACCAGGATGGTCTCGATCTCTTGACCTCGTGATCCACCCGCCTCGGCCTCCCAAAGTGCTGGGATTACAGGCTTGAGCCACCGCGCCCGGCTTCTTTCTTTCTTTTTTTTTTTAAAGACAGGGTTTCACCATGTTGGTCAGGCTGGTCTTGAACTCCCGACCTCAGGTGATCTGCCTGCCTTGGCTTCTGATTTTCTCTATTTCATGTGTTGCTTTTTCACTGGATTAGTAGTGTCTTTTGTTGTATAATATTTTAAATTTTGATATAGTCCAAATTATTTTTTCCTTTTGTTGACTGTGCTTTTTGTGTCATATGCAAGAATCCAATATCATGAAGTTTTCCCATATTTTATTTTTTAAATTTTGAGGCAGGTTTTGTTTTGTTGCCCAGGCTGGAGTGCAGTGGTGTGATCTTGACTCACTGCAACCTATGCCTCTGCGGTTCAAGCAATTCTCATGCCTCAGCCTCCCAAAAAGCTGGGATCACAAGCATGTGCCACCATGCCTGGCTAATTTTTGCATTTTTAGTAGAGACAGGGTTTTGCCATGTTGGCCAACTGGTCTTGAATTATTGGCGTTAGGCAATCCACCCATCTTGGCCTTCCAAAGTGCTGGGATTATAGGCATAAGTCACTGTGCCTGGCCTCCCATATTTTCTTCTAATAATTAACCTATTTAACATATTAAAATAATGAGCATTCAAACCATCATTTTATAGATGTTACATATTATTTTTAAAGGTTTTCAAACTTAAGCTATTGAGAATTTAAATAAATATGCTATGTAAATAATAGGAGATTTGGTATACATCTTGCAGTTAGTAGTACCCAGGTGACTGATGCTGGGTAAACAGTGTGCTAAGCTAAACTGCATCCTTCTAAATATACCTATTGCTGTATCTCATTCCTGGGCTAAGTATCCTCCCTGCATTACCAAATGGTTGTCTCATGCATCCATTTAAGAACGACAGCAGGCCAAAACCAAAACTGGAGTCATGAATGCTAAGGATCCATGCCACCAAAGTGAAACCTGGGTTACTTAAACTTGTAAGATCTGATCTTCTGAGAAATCAGGAGAGAGAAGAAAGCTAAATAAGCCACACTTTCATTTACATCCCTATAAGGAAAGTAATCTTGAAATGACTGATCTGCTATTTGTTCATTCTTCCTGCTTTCCTCCACGTTTTTCTGCTGGTCAAACTCACCCACTCTGTCCTCATTGGAGCACTTTTCTGTCTTGTTTACTGCATGGTGCATGCATTGCTAATAAAAGCCAATCAGATCTTTGAAAGGAAATTTGTTGAAATTTTGTTCTTTGACACATCTGAAAAGCAGCCACAAGTATAAAGGCCAGTGATATAAAAAAATGGGTGACAAAAAAAGTCAACTAATCTGAACTGCAAGACAAACGTTTTTAGAGGCCCACAACAGTACCTTACTTTCAATTCTGAAATGCAGAAAGTCCTCCAAATCATTATTTTTTCCCCATTTGGAGTAAACTCATTTGAACTGATATGAGACTATTTACGACCTTTATTATTTATTGTATTTATTTTATTTGAGACAGGGTCTCGCTCTACTGCCCAGGCTAGAGTGCAGTGGTGTGATACAGCTCCATGCAGCCTCAACCTTCCAGGCCCAAGCAATCTTCCCACCTCAGCCTTCTGAGTAGCTGGGACTACAGGTGGGCACCACAGTGCCTGGCTAATTTTTTTTATTTTTACTTTGTAGAGATGGGGGTCTCACAATGTGTCCTGGGCTGGTCTCAAACACCTGGGTTCAAGTAATCCTCCCGCTCTGGCCTCCCAAAGTACTGGGATTACAGGCATGAGCCACTGTGTCTGGCCCTATTTACAACCTTTATATATCCCACTCAGGGTGAATATATGTGAATACTCAACACATTTCTGCTACAGAAATATTGTTTGACTACGGGGGTATACAATATATCTCACCTTTTTTATACATTCAAAAAATTCTGAATTCCACAAACACATTTGGCCTGGAATGTTTTTGATAAGGGACTGTGAATCAATGGTGGCATAATTAGTCCTAGGAGTACTAGTAAGAGAAATATAGCATTTGTTGAGTACTTAGTTTGTGTCCAGCATTGTTCTAAGTATGCTCTAGGTAAATGCCTCATGTAACCCTCACAATCCCTACACTTTATCATCCTATCCTTTATAAACGAGGAAACTGAGTGAGATTAACTGTTTAATTTGCTGAAGATCATGTAGCAAGTAGCCCAAAGGGGGTTTCGTGCATTTCACCATAAAGGGCTTTGTGCAAAGGATGCCTTCAACTGCAGCAGAATGATGGTAAACTCACAGCGCCTCAAATCACAGAGACAGGACATGTGACCTGGAGGCTGGTGGTCAGGGGTGGGTTGGTTCGGAGGCTCAGGCTGTTCCGGCTCTAGGTGCTTTCCTAGGATTCCCACCAGCTGCCCTCAGAGTGACAAAAAGGCTGCCGCAGCTCCGGGAAACTTACACTGGGCGACGACAACAGGAAGAAAACAGCCCTCACCCATTCACCTCCCTTTTTAACTAGAAGAAAAACAGTTCCCAGAACTTGCCTTAACAGATCTCGATTACTTCTTCCTGGCCCATACCAGGTGATATGCCCATTGCGAGCCAATGGCTGGCAACGGAGTGGCCCCGTTTTAATTCATCCAAAAAAGGCGCGGGTCTGAGCTGTTTGGAGCAATCAAGGGAGCTCCATGCTACGGCAGGAGGGGCCTGGACAAGCGGCTGCAGGAGTCCAGGCCTCCGTGCCCTAAGACGAGGGCTCAGCGGTGCTCAGCACCGCGCCGGGCCGGAGACAGAGCGGCGCCCGCGGTGGAGGGTTGGCTGGATCCCCGGCAGCGACCGCGCGGAGCGACAGTGGCTGCGCTCTTCCCCTTCGGCCCAGCCCAAAGGCTGCGGCAGGTCAGCGCCGGCGACCTCATAGTGCCCTCCAGCCAGCCGAGAAGCCGAGGGCTTCCGGGGCCTCCCACCGAGCGGCCACCAGACACAACAGCTGCGCGCCGCGGCGGCTGGCCCGAGCGCTCCCCGCCTTCCCACCGCGGCGCCCGCCTCTCTCACCCGGAACCGAGGCGGCCCTGAGGGCCACAACTCCCAGAAACCCCCGCTGTCTCGCTCAAGCGTTATTGTCAAAGCTTGGCGGGTTCCTGAAAGAATGGTTTCTGCGGAGCCCCACGGCTGGTCCTGTGAACGGAGACGCGACAAGCCGGCCTCTCTGCGAAGCAATGACTTGGGGCAGACGGACAGCGCCCACACCATCCCAACATCCCCAGAAGACTCTGGTCTCTGCTACTGCTGCCTGCGGTGCCCGCCTAGGCGCTGTCGCGCTTCCCGCGGCGCCCCGCCCCTCCGTCTCCCCATTGGCTCCCCAGGGCGGTGTGCGGAAGGGGGCGTGGCGCGCGGGCCACTGCCGGGCCTGAGAGGCCTGGCGGTCTTGAGCCTGGGGCTGCATGGAGAGCCTGGCGCTCGGCCGCTGGCGACGGCGGAGGGCGGAGGAGCTGCAGGTTCTGGGGGACGTGGTGAGCCCCCGGGGCCTGGGCATTAGGGACGGGAGGACGGATGGCCCGTGGGCGGGCTCCCACCGCGCCTCGTGTTTCCCGGCGTGGCCCTCCCTGTGAGAAGGCCCGGCCGAAGCCCTTCACGCGCCCGCGCCGGCGCCCGAGCCCGCACCCCTGCCTGGGAGGGCGTGCGCGGTGGGCGTGGCCTATACGGGAGGGGTTTGACACCGCCCTCCCGGTTTCGCGCCTGCGCGGACTCGCGGAACCCGGGCGTATTTCTGACCCACGCGCTCCCTGGGCTCCAGACCCAGGCTCCGCAAAACGTGGGCCGGGACGCTTTGCATGAACTCGGGTGCTTGGTGTCCGGGTCCTGTCTTCTCCTGCCGTCCACACTTTACCGTTCCTGAGTCTCGTTCACTGAGCGCCTACCACGTGCCAGGCCCGGGGCTGGGTGTTGGGGGACGGGGACGGGGGCAACGAACAGCGCAGAAAATTACCCGACATTGAGCGTATTAGTGCTGCTTGGGTTGACTCCATTAATTGATGAGAAGACGGTAAGATAAGATGGTAATCCGGGGACCCGCACAAGATCCAGGGTGGAAGGGCAAGTCAGGTGTGGGTGAACCTTGAAGGATGACCAGGGGTAGGCAGGGTGGGAGCTGGCAAAAAAGCCAGTGTTGGAGCTCAGTGTCTCAGGGGAACTGAAAGAAGCCCTGCAGGACTGGAGCAGGAAGGCAGCCGCTTGGCATTACTGTCTCTTACCTTTCACGTCTGCTTGCAAGTTAGCTAGTTCTTAACCTCGTTTATTTCAAAGTTCCTTTCTAAGGGCAGCAGTGAGCAACCAATATACCGAATGTCTGCTTTTTTTTTTTCTTCTAGAGCTGCACAGGCCTGGTAAGTGCAGGATCCGTCTTCCCAGTTAATGCGGGCAGCATTTTTTTAGATGCGTAGGGAGAGTGACTAGCTTTTACCCTGCACCGTCTGTTTCCCCACCACCCACTGCCTGACCGTGAAGCCAGTGCCACTTAGGTTTCTGTTACAGTCACATCCCCCCTCCAGATACCAATTGTTATCTTAGTAGGATGCAGGTTACCCCAGTAATATAGTAATAGTATGGTACAGTAATGTATGCTAATAGTATAATACAGTAATATAGTAGGTTGGGGTGCTTTTGTAACCAAGAGCCTTCAAACCACGCTGGCCCTAATAAGATGGAATTTTGATTCTCCTGCATAGAACAGCATGAAGGTGAGCAGTCCAATAGGGTGGAACTCAGGGTCACTAAATCTAGGCATAGGGCTGGTGGCACCGAGATCAAGGGATATGCAGGGACGTGGATTCTGTCCCCTCGTACTATCCCCTGGCTGTTACCCTCCTCTGCATAGCCAAGACCAGCTCCCCACTACCATGCTACCAGACGGCAGGAAAGCAAACAGAAAACTGATGTGATTATGCTGATGTCTTAAGACCTTCCTCCACTGCTCTGGAAAGTGAAAGGGTGGTGGTCAGAGTGCAGGCAGAGAGGCAGGGCTCATGGCCACAATGGTATATCAGTCAGAGGAGAAGTGACAGAGGCTTGCTCAAGAGAGGGCAGTGGGGTGGTGACACTAGACAGACGTGACTGTATATTTAGAGGGAGAACAGGCAGGCTCACTGATGGAGTGGCCATGGCAGGGTAATGTGAAGGGAGGAGTCCAGGGTGATGCCAGGGTTGTCTTGAGCCCTGGGAGGGCAGTGCTGCTGTTCCTTGAGAGAAGAGTGGTGTGGAGCTGTGGGAGGCAGGGAAGAGCTCCTGTTAGATTGTGCTGTGTTTTCTATGACGTTGAGAAATTTGGTGGAGACATGGCAAATACTGCTAGTGATTGAATGGTTATCTGATTTTTTTTTTTTTTTTTTTTTGAGACTGAGTCTCACTCTTGCCTAGGTTGGAGTGCAGTGGCGCAATCTTGGCTCACTGCAACCTCCTTCTCCTGGGTTCAAGCAATTCTTGTCCCTCAGCCTCCCGAGTAGCTAGGATTACAGGTGCCTACCACCACTCCTGGCTAATTTTTGTATTTTTAGTAGAAACGGGGTTTCACTGTGTTGGCCAGACTGGTCTCGAACTCCTGACCTCAGATGATCCACCTGCCTCAGCCTCTTAAAGTGCTGGGATTACAGGCATGAGACACTGTGCCCAGCCTGGATTATCTGAATTTATAGCACAACACTGCTAAATTATTCCCATGATACAAGTGAGGCAACTGAGACACAGAGGGGTAATTAACTGGCCAAAGGATACACAGCTAGTAAATGGTGGAAGTAGGTTTTAAATCCAAGTCATCTGGCTCCAAAGCCTGCGCTGATAACCACAAGGCTACACAGCTTCCCATGTGGCATTTGTGGAACTAAAATACAAAGCCGGCCCGGTGCAGTGGCTCACGCGTGTAATCCCAGAACTCTGGGAGGCTGAGGCAGCAGGTCACTTGAGGTCAGGAGCTCCAGACCAGCCTTGTCAGCATGTGAAACCCCATCTCTACTAAAAATTGAAACATTAGCTGGGCTTGGTGGCGTGGGCCTGTAATCCCAGCTACTCAGGAGGCTGAGGCAGGAGAATTGCTTGAACCCGGGAGGCAGAGGTTGCAGTGAGCTGAGATCACACCACTGCACTCCAGCCTGGATGACAGAGTGAGAGTCTGTATCAAATAAAAAAGTAAAAATAAAAAATACCCACAAAGCTTCCCAATGAAGTCCTAAATTGGCCATCATAAAATGATGAAAAGTGTGATGCTGTGGGCTGTCAGGGAAGGGGAGCCAGAGGTCGTTATTGATCAGAGAGAACAGAGAAGACTTAATGGAAGACACCCTGAATGATCTATCAGATTGGAATTGCTGAAATTGAGTGCCAGGCTTGAGGTTGCAATACTTCCTGACTGTTACTAAAGAATAATGAGTATCTTATTGCTGTGGTGTATATTGCCTCTTAATTTGATAAAGTTTTGTTTATATTGTATTGTGTCCTAGTTTTTGATTTAATAATCCAGATTGAGTTCAATAAAGTATCCATGTTCTTCTACCAAGTTTTCTGTCCTCTCTCTGCCTCTCTGTGTTTCTCTCTCACAGATGTTTCCAGAATTTGGTTACTGAGGAACAGTAACTAGTTTCTTACTTCACAGCCTAGAGGCTCTGTACTCTGCATGTAACACCAGCAAAGTTTTGGAAAACACAGCAGCCAGGACCCATCTCTGTAGTGACTTGGCAGGTGATTCTTGGGCAGAGCCAGAGTGAAGCACCTCTGCTGTAATGTGAGTGTCTCATCACTGTGAGTTTCCTTGCAGCCCGGTTAGCTAGTGTGGACACGTGTCAGTTCAATGACAGTAGTGTTTGTTTCCATTGGGCAGACATGTTTTGAGCACCTGCTTTGTCTCAAGCCCTGTCCTAGGCACTGGAGAAAAGATGAATGAAGGCCTTGCTTACATTTACCCTGCATCTCAGGGCGAGGCTTACTGTGCAACTCCGGTGCTTGGCTTTTTTCACAGGAAGTCCCCCTGCTTACCACACACTGACCATACTTGTATGTTTCAGATTGAAAGTTGCCTAGAACGCCTAAAGCTTCATGTCCATTCAGTCTTTCATCTCTGCTGAGACTCTGCTCCCTAAAGAACGCTCTGAAGTCCAGATTTGTTTAGTAGAGCTACATCTTAGATGTTTGGGCTGGAAAATCAAGTTGATATTTATTTTCTAGTGTCATAAGATTCAAGATCCTTCTTTCTAGCTTTTTTTTTTTTCCTTTTTGAGACAGGGTCTTGCCCTGTTGTCCAGGTTGCTGTGCAGTGGAGCGACGATGGCTCACTGCAGCCTTGATCTTGGTTCAAGTGATCTTCCTGCCTCAGCCTCCCAAGCAACTGGGACTACAGGCATGCACCACCATGCCCAGCTAATTTTTGAAAACTATTCTGTAGAGGTGGGATCTTGTCATGTTGCCTAAGCTGGTCTCAAACTCCTGGGCTCAAGTGATCCACCTGCCTTGGGCTCCCAACGTTCTGGGATTATAGGCATGAGCCACTGTGCCTGGCCTAATATACAGGTGATTGATTGATTGATTGATTGGGACAGTTTCACTCTGTCACCCAGGCCAGAGTACAGTGGCACCATCTAGGCTCACTGCCACCTCTGCCTCCTGAGTTCAGACATTTCTCCTGCCTCAGCCTCCCTAGTACCTGGGACAACAGGTGTGTGCCAGCTAATTTCTGTATTTTTAGTAGAGACAGGGTTTCACCATGTTGGCCAGGCTGGTCTCGAGCTCCTGACCTCAAGTGATCTGCCCCCCTCAGTTTTCCAAAGTGCTAGGATTACAGGCGTGAGCCACCATGCCCAACCAAGTACAAGTTTTTATATGGGCATAGGTTTTCATTTCTCTTGGGTATGTACTTAGCTTTGGAGTTTCTAGATATCATATGGTAACTATGTTTAACCATTTGAGGAACTGCCAGATTGTGGAACAAAGTGGCTGTACCATTTTACATTCCCAGTAGTCATGGATGAGGGTTCCAGTTTCTTCACATCCTCACCAAAACTTGTCTTTTCAATTATAGCCATTCTAAGTGGATATGAAGTGTCTCATCCTTGTGGTTTTGATTTACATTTCCTGGATAACTAATGACGTCAAACATATTTTCATGTGCATTTTGGCCATGTGTATATCTTCTTAGGGGAAATGTCTCTCAGATCCTTGCCCATTTTTTAATTGGGTTATTTCTCCTTATTATTGAGTTGTAATAATTCTTTATACTGTATACAAGTTCCTTATTGGAGCTATTATTTGCAAAAACTTCTCTCATTCTATACCTCAATGTTTTCTTCTAGGAATCTTGTAATTTTACATGTAGATCTATGTTCCATTTTAGTTAATTTTGAATTTTTTTTTAAAACAGGGTCTAGCTCTGTTACTCAGGATGGAGTGCAGTGGTGCGGTCATGGCTCACTCCAGCCTCAACATCCCAGCTCAAGGAGTCCTCCCACCTCAGCCTGGCAAGTAGCTAGGACTACAATTGTGTGCCACTATGCGTGGCTAGTTTTAAACAATTTTTTGTACAGACTAGGTCTCACTGTGTTCCCCAGGCTGATCTCAAACTCAAGCGATCAACCCACCTCAGCTTCCCAAAGTGCTGGGATTAGAGGCACAAGTCACCACACCCAGCCAGCTGCCTTCTTTTACATGTGAACGTCAAGTTTCGCCAGTACCATTTGTTAAAAGACTCTTCTTTCTCTTTGTTAATTGTTTTGGCACCCTTGTTGGAAACTCCAATGTGAATGTAAAGTTTTTTCCCTGGACTCGATTCTATTCCGTTGATCAATATGTTTGTCTTTGTGTTAGTACCCTACTGTCTTGAGTATTGTAGTTTTGTAGTATGTGTTGAAATTTGGAAATGTGAGTCCCTCAACTTTGTTTTTCTTCCAGATTGTTTTAGCTGTTCTGGGTCCTTTGAATTTCTATTTGAATTTTAAGATCGGCTTGGCAATTTCTGCAAAGAAGTCAGCTGGGATTTTTGATAGGGATTACATTGAATCTATAGATTAATTTGGTGACTAGGACTACTTTAACAGAATTAAGTCTTCTAATCCATGGACATGGATGTCTTTCCATGTTTCATTGTTTTTTTCCTATTGCTTTTCTATGTACTATCTTATTAGTTTTTACTCAGATTTCTTCTATTTACTATGGGTTCAATTGCTTGTTTAAATCTTTTAAGATGGAAACTAAGGTCATTGGTTTAAGATCTTTCATGTTTTCTAGGGTAGATATTTAGTGCTATAAATTTCCTCCTAAGTACTGTTTTAGTAAAATTTTTGATATAATTTGTTTTCTTTTTTTTTTCAGTTCAGAATACTTTATAATTTTTCATTTGATTCCTTTTTTGATGCACTGGTTATTTAGAAGTGTGTTATTTAGTTTCTAAAGATTTGAGGATTTTTAGAAATATTTCTTTTTTTTTTTTTTTTTTTTTTTTTTTTGGGTTGGAGTTTCCCTCATGTTACCCAGGCTGGAGTGCAATGGCGCTATCTCAGCTCACCGCAACCTCCGCCTCCTGGGTTCAGGCAATTCTCCTGCCTCAGCCTCCTGAGTAGCTGGGATTACAGGCACGCACCACCATGCCCAGCTAATTTTTTGTATTTTTGGTAGAGACGGGGTTTCACCATGTTGACCAGGATGGTCTTGATCTCTTGACCTCATGATCCACCCGCCTCGGCCTCCCAAAGTGCTGGGATTA